CTCTCATATATGGATTTTAGACATATATCTGGGGAGTGCCAGCCTACAATCCCATGGCCAGAGAGTCTGGGAAACAGAATCTTCATTCAGTGGCTGATGGAAGAAGAGGCAGACTCCCATGGCTAAGCACTGAGCTGAACTCAAGAAATCCAGTTACAGAGAGGGAGGACTGATGACCAAAGGGGTTAAGACTGGGCTGGTTTAACTCCTAGAAACAGCTGACCTGACAAGGGTTAGCTCTTGAATCCCAGACTGATGCCTGGGAATCCAGCATGGGACTGATCAAGACCCCCTGAATGTGGGTGTCAGTGAGGAGGCCTAGGTAATCTATTGAGCCTTGGGTAGTAGATCAGTATTTATCCCGGGTATACAAACGGACTTTGGGCTCCCATCCGACGATGAGAGATGCACTCTCACCCCGGACTCTTGGGGGAGGGTCTAGGCCCTGCCCTGAATGAAATGACAGACTATGGACACCCCCATGGAGGGCCTCACCCTCCCTGGGGAAATGAGAGGATATTGGGGGGAGGTTGGTGGGAGGGTGCGGGAGGACGGGAGGGAAAGGGAGAGGGACCAAGAATTGACATGTGAAGCAACCTTGTTTCTAATTTAAATTTAAAAATAAAAAAAATAAAAAAAGAATATAGTCATGTTTCAGCCAGCATAGGGAAGAGTACTCCTTCCCCAAGAAAGTGTCAAAGGATTGTGGTGATATACTGTTTATGATCTAATAATGCTTGCCTGGAGATCAGAATGCAAAGCCAGCCACACTAGTCAGCCATATAGGCCAGGCAATGGCAGAGACCTTTAATCCCTGCAGCCACACTAGTCAGACCAGGCAGTGGTGGCGCGTGCCTTTAATCCCAGGACTGGAGAGAAATATAAGCAGTGTAGTCTATTCAGTTTGCAGTCTCTGTGAGTCTGAGATTCGGTGAGGACCAGTGCAGTCTGGAGATGCAGTCTGAGGTGGATCGCCCCTTTGGTATGCACCTGGGTAGAGGTGAGAGCTCTCTGGTGGCTGACTGCTTTGCTTCTCTGATCTTCAGCTTGAACAACAATATCTTTCTCTGGGATTTGATTATTCATGCTACAAAGGATAGGATATAAGCTCTTGGGATACCCATGAGGACTCATGGTGGAGAAACGCAGCAGGCCAGCTCGGGAGTTCTAGGGTTGAGTCTCAACTTAGCTACATTGATGGGCACTTCCAAAGTGCGATTAGAGATGGATCCACACCGAAGATTCTTCTAGCGATGCGTCATCCCTGCAGGCACACGCATGTGGGGTGTGGGTGGGTGACAGTCAGAGGCCTGTGCCTTCCTCACTATTCACCTTATTTTTGATTTTACTTTCTTTAGCCTGCCTGTGTGTCTGTACACAACATGGTTTCCTGGCGCCCTTGGAGACCTCAGGAAGGTTCCAGACCCTTCAGAACTGGAGTTACAAATGGTTGTGAACCATCTTATGGGTGTTAGAAACCATATCCAAGTCCTCTGCAAAATCAATAAGCACTTACAATCAGGAAACATGCTTCCAGCCACCCTATTTACCTTAATATTTGGAGACAGGATCTCTCACTGGGGCCTAGGGCTTGCTGCTGTTTCAGCTAGGCTGGCTGGACAGTAATGCCAGGGAGCTCTCTCTCTCTTTCCCGTCTCTGCTGGGATTACAGGTGTGTACCAGCGCTTGTGTGCAGGGCCTTTCAGATGGTTGTTCCAGATCTGAACCTGGGTCCTCAATGCTAGGGTGACAGATATACCCTAACCTTCTGAACTATCTCCACAGCCCAATTCCTATACAGATCGATAGGATCAAGTGAGATCCAGTTTCATGGGGAGGGGTGGGAAAGGATAAGGCTCCCCTAATGATGACCCTGAGACTCACAGAAAACCCGCCATCAACAAATCCGGAATGTAACGTCTGCTTTTTGTTTGTAACGATGGAAGAGCTCACAGACGCCAGCCACCTGCTTAAACCCCTACAGATGCTGGAGAAGGAGCAGCTGGCAAACACATCCAACGAGCAAGTGGGGTTCTGAAGTGTGTCATGGCCATCTAGTCACTTCCATACTGCAGCACGGACCACGTCGTGACAGGTGGCGTGGGGATGAGGAACCAAGCATCCCTCACTCTCCCCACCCTGAGGTGGCAAACGCTGGAGAAGAGGGTTATTGCATGAGTTAGAACAGGAGGCTAAAGTCCCAGAAGAAAGGGAACGACTGGACTAGGATTCCGTGCCGATTCTAAGTGGTGGGAAGCATGTGCCGAATTGTAAGCCGTGCACACAGTGGAGGCCTCTAAGGAGGCAGAGAGGAGCTGAAAGCTAAGAGTTAGGCACAGCTTTTTAGCAGGCTAGGGATGCGGATGAGAGAGAATTTTAATACCGAGGCACTTCAAAGGAGGGTGCTCTGTAAATAGGCCTTTCAGAGGTGTGGAAAGCTGTGTCTCAAGAGGAGAACAAAAGTAAAAAAAATAGCAGCTACCAGGCCTCAGCAGAACAGAAACCCTGGCTGGAATCTTGCCACTTCCTGGATGTATCGAGTGGTCTGCCCCTAATCTCCTCCTGCTCCAGGAAGGGACTCAATCTTTAAAGACAATGTAATCACAGGGGCTGAGTCTTAACTCATTCAGTTCCACAACACTGACGCCAAAGAGAGACTGACATTATTTTGAAACTGACATTGCAGATCAATTTCTTTCCTTCATCGATGAAAAAGCATTAGACAATTCACTTTCTAATGAAATCCACCAATGATTTCAAAGCGCCACAGCACCACCTACAAGTCGGGTTCACATCAGAAAAGCCAGGCTGCCCATTGTTAAGAACATCAGTCAATGCAAATTTTCATATTTGTGAAGATCAAGAGGGAATTATGGTTATTTGGTAAATGAAGATAAGCTATTTGATAGTCAAAATATTGTTTAAAAAGCAGTTCTAATCCATTTCAGTAGAAGAGACCTCTAAATCTAAAAAAGAATTTCTAGAAAATATGAATAAAGAGCTTACTTACCTGAAATATTGAAAGTACAGCATTGCCTTGTAGGTATTAGACTATGTAATAAGACAAGCCATTACAAAATACACAGTTAAACAGGTATATTTGTTACTGTCATGGCGTAAAGTCAATGTGCAAATACAACTTGCATTCAAGTAAATGCCTATCAGCAACAAATAGCACAGACACAAAATCCAAACCTGGACAGAGGCGCCCTGCTAAGAAAGGAAAAGGCCAGAGAATTTGTTTAGGATGTAATATCAAAGGTTCAGACAACAAAAGTAAAAAAAAAAAAAAAAAAAAGCAGTCACAGCTCTATCAAATTAAATAGACCATTCCTGACATGGAACTCATCAACCAAACTTGCAGGCCATTTGTCAGCAAGGTCACTGTGTTGGGTGCAAGAGCAATGCCTACCTCTAAACAGAAAGAAAAACTCAAGTCTAAAAACATGGGCAAAGAGTGCAAGTAGGTATTTCTCTAAAGGAGACATAAGAATTCCCCGAATTTGAGTGTTGGCAGCAGGCTGAGTTCTTCAAGCACTACAGACTAAACACAGACATCTGATTATCCTCGGCCGGTGAACTCTGACTTGGTGATGAACTCTGATGGTGTTTGTCCAGGAACCCAGGGTTACCAAGTTGGAGCCTCCACATTAGCACGTCTCACAGTTAACTGTACAAAGTGGTCGTTCCCTCTCACCCCTAAGATGACTCACAGTTCTCAGAACAGGTCATGGACACGGGCTGACTTAGGCAGTTGGTGCTGTACAGATGTCTCATTCCCTCCTCTTGACGGCCAAGGTCATCAATCAGATCCCAGCCTAGAAGTCAGTCCTCTGTGCTGTCTTGGCTGTCATACTCTCTTGAAGGATCAGTATCCCAGTGTCTGTGCTGTCACGTCCGCTAGATGTTGGAAGTCGTATTTGTTGCTTCTTTGCCTCTTCTTATTTGGCTTGTGGACTCCTTAAAAACAGGATAGGATAGGATTAATGCTGTTAGCATGATCCAAATTCATTCCTCACAAAACAGAAGCTTGTGAAAAACAGGAGGTAGCAATGCAAGATTTTAGGTCTCGCCAATGCCTGTCTAGGGACCCCATTCATCTCATCCAAGGGAGAGAACTGCATCTACATGCCTATTATTACACACGGACTGGAGCAAACCCCCCCTGGGAATCCTAGTAAAGGCCCCAAGTTAGCTATAAATACTGACGGTTCCACCATTCCTTCAGCACAGACATGAAGGCCACAGTAGACAAGCTATACCAGCATCATCTTCTTATGCAGCTTGAAGTACGGCGAGAAGAGACAGAAATCAACCTACCAGGTCATTACGTGTCGTTACCACATCGGTAAGACTCCTGTCACCACGACAAAACACCTGATGCAAACGCCTTCAAAGAGTACGGATGTATTTTGGCGCAGGGAAGTCTGGAGGTTTGTCAGGTAAGTCCTGCCACTGTCCTTCAGCTCATGATGTGGCAGCGATAATGGCATTCTGCCCCCGCCCGCCCCCAGAGTCCCAAGTAAACCAAACTCATTCTCATCCGCAGGAAATGTCTGCTTGTTTCACACCAGGCATGTCTCCCACCCCTGTCTACTTGGTTATGTCTTCTTCCTTGTCACTTCAGTTACAATGTCACCTCTTCCCAGAGGCCTTTTGATGCCCTGCCCAGGCAAGCTGTGTTCTAGATTCTCCATTGTGCAGACTGTAGGATGCTTCCATTGCACACTTCATGATCTGAAGCTATGTTGCATATTTCACGATTCCTGTTCCATGAGGAGAACATGCTTTGTAGGAGTGAACCCCACAAAGCTACCCGCCCAACAGGGCGGGGTCAAGGTAGAGATAAAAGGTAGTGAAAGGAAAAGGGGCCTCTCTCTTTTTCTCCTGGAAGCCAGCCACGCTTCTAACTCCTGGTATGTGCGACTCTCTCTCTCTCCCTGATAAATAAATATATTGTTTTTCCCTATATAGCCTCGATTACCGCGATACCTGGTGTCAGAAGTGGGATGGAATTACAGCCCACGCCTGGGAAACCGCCTGAATTCGGCATCCCGAGGTGAGTGCTCTGCTTGGCTTTGAAATTGTTGTAGCGCAGTGCACTCAGTGGGTTACACAGGCAACAACAAGCTCGTTTTAATCAAAAAGTTCTGATGCCTTGAAGTCAAAGGCTGAGGGGTGGACAGGGCTGCTCTCCAGGTTCTTTCTTCTTGGCTTAACAGCAGCTGCCACTTTCCATTGGCATCATGTGGTCTTCTCTGTGTGCACACGTTCCTCCTGTGTCTTCCAAGCACAGCCTCTCCTCATGACCGCGTTTCACTTAGCCTTAAATATGATGTCAAAGTTCGGGATTATCTTTCTCAGTGCCATGACAACGTACGAGTAACTTAAGGAGGACATGATGTATTTTGGCTCACAGTTTGGGGGTGTAGTCCACCGTGGTGGGGAAGGCGATGAACAAGAGGATGATGCTTCCATTGTACTTGTAGTTAGGAAGTGAAGAGAGATAAACGCTGGTGCCAAGCTTGCCTTGTCCTTTTCATTTTTGTGCAGTACTCCTGCCGTCCACTTTCAAGGTGAGTCTTTTACTTCAATTAACCCAGTCTACAAATTACCTCCAGGAGGGTTTGCCCGGTTGGTAAGTCTAGACCTTGTCAAACTGACAATCACTAGTAATCATCAACCCTTATCTCCAAATACAACTTTGTTGGGGGGTAGACTTTCATGTGTGTGTTGGGAGCCCAGCACAATTCACCCTCTAACACCTGTGTTTACTGATGGCATATCATTCTTTTATTAGCCAAATCTGTGACCAAGTCTATAATGACATATACTATGGGGATTTGAAAAGGGATGGAAAGGCACTTTTGCTCTTTCCTTTTAACCCAGGAAACACTTTGATATTTTCATCTTTCCCTCCAAAACACTGGCTTTCTTTCCTCTAGAGATGTGAATACTCAGGCATGAAATTCTCTCATTAAAGACCCCATTGTTTTGCTCACACAGCACAGGAGACCTGAAAATGGCTTAAAGGGACCATGTTACAGGACACGATTGATTAGCATGTGACTTGCCTAGAAAAGGAGCTCACATTGGAGAATTTAATTCCGCTGAGTGGTGAGCTGTGACTTCTTGCTGATGAATGGTTTTTCCAGAGCACTTTCCATTTAAAAATATGAAACAATAAAGATTAAGTACAATTGCAACGACCCTCATTTTTCAACTCGCAGAACTCTCTTGACCTGCCCGTGTCTTCATTATTTTATCTGGAAAGCTTTATCAAGCAAAAGCATGTTTTTTGGTTTGTTTGTTTTTGTTTTGTTTTTAAGATATTGTGATTTTCCCATGGATTCCTGGATGAAAGCATATACCAAACATTTCCTTATTGCCACCATGCAAAGATTAACCCCTCAGCAGATGCCCTCAAGCTGTCTGTATTGTAGGCGACGGTTCATCTTGATGGAACTCGGAGTCACAGTGGAAACAAACCATTGGGCTTGCCTGGCAAGGAGTTCTGAGATGGGGGTTCATTGAGGTGGGGATCCACTGGATATCTGTAGGCTTCCACTGTGTGGAAGGGATTTCATGACTGAATAAAAGGGTGAAAACAAACCGAGCACCCACATTTATTGTTCTCTGCCTCCTGACTGTGGGCCCAGCTGCTTCCTGCTGCCTGCTGTGCCTTCTAACTGGAAGACAAAATCCACCCTTCCTTCCCCAAGTTGCTTCCTGTTGAATGCAGAGTCACAACAGTGAGAAAGTATCTAATATGCAGAATAATGTGCTTGTCTTTAGGAAGAGCCAAATATACATGGTGTGGTGGTTTTGTTAGGAATGGCCTCCATAGATCCATAGATCAGAATGCTTGGTCATCAGGGAGTGGCACTACTTGACCCTGTTGGAGTAGGTGTAGCTTTGCTGGAGGAAGTGAGTCGGTTGGAGGTTGGCTTTGAGGTTTCAAATGCTCAAGCCAGTCCCAGTGTCTCTCTCCTCTTGCTGCTGTCAATGCAGATATAGAACTCTCAGCTCCCTTTCTAGAACCATGTCTGCCTGCACGGCCCCATGCTTCCTGCCATGGTGGTAATGGACTAAACCTCTGAATGTAAGCAAGCCCTAGTTAAATGCTTTTCTTTAAGAGTTGCAGTGCTCATGGTGTCTCTTCACAGCAACAGAACACGGACTAAGACACACTGCTTGTGTGTTTCCGTGTACCCCTATCCAGAGGGGTTAAGTTACATTACCCTAAGTGCCCCCAACTTACTATCCAGAAGGTGTCATGCTAGACCAGTACTGGAATTCACTGAAAAACTTTAAAAATATATTATCATTAGATTTTGTGTAAGCTTTCTTCTTACTGGGGGTTGAATGAGAACATTCTAGACAGTACCAGACACGTACCTGGTGATACTCCAGGAACTAGAATGCTCCAGCAAGTTAAAGTTCACTTGCTGGTGCTGACATTTCCGCTCTGGTCTGATATGAGCAACATCTGGAACACACCTGTCTTGGGGAGCACTACAGGCTTGGGGAGCACAACAGGCTTGGGGAACACTACAGGCTTGGGGAACACTACAGGCTTGGGGAGCACTACAGGCTTGGGGAGCATACCTGTCTTAGGGAGCACACATGTCTTGGGGAGCACACATGTCTTGGGGAGCACACATGTCTTGGGGAGCATACCAGACTTGGGAAACACACCAGGCTTGGGGAACACACCAGGCTTGGGGAACACACCAGGCTTGGGAAGGTAACTGGTTAAGATGGTAAAACATCCATCAGTCCTTACAGGATTTCAGGGCCCTCCACAGGCCAGAAAGTTTCCTGTGGAGAAGGTGGGGATGTCTGCATACAGAGGCTGACCTGCCTTCTTATCCCTGTATGCACTTGAGTCTTTGCAACCTCACTCAAGGCCTTCAGCTGCTGTACAGGTCTCAGGCCTCTCTGCTTCTGTCTCTCCCTCCCTCTCTCTCTCTCTCTGTCTCTGTCTCTGTCTCTCTCTGTCTCTCTCTCACACACACACACACACAAACTGAAATATTTGAGGACATTTGACAGACTTTTCCTCTTCTCTCAGAAGCAATATTACCCATGACACCCTTGGCATCTCACAGAAAACCAAGGCAACCATGGGGAACATAGTAGGGATAGGATGGAGGTAGGAGGGCTTATTAAGGAATCTCTCTGGGGATGGAGCTCAGGTGGTTGAGGGCTTGCCTAGCACGCATGGGTTCTAGGTAACATCTCCAGCACAAAATAAAAATGGGGACATAGTGGGGTGTGGCTGTAACTCCAGTACTATGGAGGGGGAGCTCCTTCCCCCTCCCTCTCCCTCCCTCTCCCTCCCATCTCTCTCCACTCTCCCTTTTCCTCATCTTCCTCCTCTTCCTCACCATCCTTCTTCTCCTGTTCTCTTTGACACAGGGTATTACTATATGTAGCCCATGCTGCCCTTGAACTCACTATGTAGCTCAGACTGACTTCAAACTCAGGTGACTCTCCTGCCTCCTGGGAACTGGGATTATAACACACACTGCCCTGCCCAGCCACTTTCCCCTATTTACAAAGGTGTGGCCCAGCCAGGCGTTAATGGCACACACCTTTAATCCCAGCACTTGGGAGGCAGATACAGGTGGATCTCAGTGAGTTTGAGGCCAGCCTGGTCTACAGAGCAATTTCCAAGACAAAACAATACAGAGAAACCCTGTCTCAAAAAAAAAAAAAAACAAAATGAAAAACCAAACAAAGGTGTGGCCCCTGGGGCTTGGGATGTGCTTGCACATTTGATGTCTTGAAAGGAAGTTGAGATTTACTTTGGAGGAATTACATCTTTACTCTGGAAGGATTTTACAGGCCATTAAGGTGAATCTCTAGTAAAAGTTCAAGTTTCAAGTGACTGTTTTAAGTGTTTCTACCCTGTGCTCAGTGAAGGCTCTGTACTGCTCTTCTTCTGAGTGCGTGGTTCGGTGTTTGTCAGCATCCTTGGCCACAGGGAATGGAAGATCCCAAAAGCCATCATGGAAGAGCTATAACAACAAAAGGAACCAGGTGGGGGCCAGGGGACTTGTGCCAGTGGGAAAGAGATAATAGAGTCGTGGTGAAAGAAAGCTCACCAGGGTTATTGCTTTGGGATCCAAAGCAAATAAAACATCTGTCTGCCTTCAGTCTTCTGCTGGATATATTTTCTCCCCAGAGAGGCACAGTTACCCAAAGTGCCTTCCCTCTGTAGAGTAATTTCTGTAGTCGGTTGCTTCCTGCCTTGATGTTTAAACGCTCAGAGCGCTCCCTATTGTAAAACCCAATAAAATATCTAGGCTATTTTGCTAAGTAAATCTCTCAGCAAGTTTAATGAATGTTGATTTCATTTACAGAGAGAGATTTTTCAATAGGCCGCCAGTCTGTAACCCCTGTGGAAGAAATATTCTCATGGCAGATAGTCAAGCGCAAACACAACTTTCTGTACCACCTGTTGTTGTACGTGCTCAGGGTTTTGGCCTCTTTTTGCTCTTTGTCAGGGAATGGAAGCTTCTAGTGCTAGTCTATGGAGGCGCATTCAGTTGGGAAAGTTCTTGCCTCACAACCATGAGGACCTAAGTTAAATCCCCAGAACTCACATTAAAAAAAAAGTCTGATGGCCCACACTTGTAATCCTATTATGCCCCGTTCGAGGAACCCCCAAAAATCCACCAGCAAGGAGGCAACTCAATGAAAGCAAGAACAAAGGTTTCTTTTATTGTTTAATGAGCTAACCCCGTTAACTGGGGCCCCTTGTCCGTCCATCACAGCCAGTGGGAAGACAAGGGCTCCCGGGAACCACAAGGTGGGGAACTTATTGGGCAGCCAAAGGGGAGTGTCTAGGGATATGCAGCAGTCTCGGGATTGGTGAGCTTCCAGGTTTGGATGACCTTTCCTGTGTTGATTGGTCTACTGGATGTTATGGCCTATAGGCCCTCCCAGGGCGGTTGCTATGCTCTGTTGGGCCGCTTTTACTGTAAAGCATTCCCAGGGTCCCACCAGATAACTTTTGATTGGTTCCTTGCCACGAGGAGGGTATCTGATCTCCAAGTGACTAGGGCAGGCCCGGCAAGGTCAGACATGTGTCAAGTCAGAGTCTTTTCTGCAGCCTGTCATGACTGCAAAAGCAAGGGGCTGGCCCCTTTAATCCCAGTACTGGGGAGGGAGTGACAGCCAGGTCTCTGGGGCTCATTGATAGGATATGGACCAAGGAAGTTGATATCTTGTCTATACATATGCAGATATGCACAAAGACCCACTTTCCTGTGTGGACCAAAGGTTTTACATTTCTTATGTTGATTTCTTACCTCTTCTTTGGTAAGATGAAGAAAATACAGGCTATTCTTTTTATAATTTTTCTTTCCTCATTCTTTTCAAACTCTAACCAAAATGTTGCTCTTTCCCCTCCTGGTCACTAGAATAAAGTTCAGAAGGAGACCAAGAGGGGTGGGGAGCAGTGAAGGAAACTTAGAAGCAATGTTTGCACCCCCAAAGTCTCCTGGCTTCTCTGTTCCAGCTATCTTAGAGCACTTTTTTGTTTAGCAGACAAGCTGTAAACGTCATCCTCAACTTGACTGGCTCTGTAATCAGACAGTAAACACCCATTCTGAATGTGGCTTGTGACATCCTATGGACTGGGCTCCTGGGGGGAATAAAATTGAAAAGAGCAGAAAGCCAGGTGAATGACAGTGTTCACTTCTCTGTTTCTTGGTTCTCAGAGACAAGAACAACCTGATTTCCCTGCAGCTACACACACTTCTCACTAACCCTCCCCCACTGTGGTGGATTGTATCCTTCCCCACTGTGATGGCACTGTTACCTTCACAACTATGGTGGACTGTATCCTCCCCCACTGTGGTGGACTGTATCCCTTAAAACCATGAGCTAGATCAAGTCCTTCTTTCCTTAAACTACTTCTGGTGATGTGTTTGGTTCACAACCATGAGAAGTTACAAATGCATTGAGTGTTTTCAAAGAGATAAAACAGACTTCAATCTGTGCATTGTATTTATCTTCTGTTAACCTTATTAATTCACACAATTAGGTGTATAATTCTTTTCTCTTTCTTTCTCTTGCAGTTTTTTGTGTATGTGTTTGTGTTTGTGTGTGTGTGTGTGTGTGTGTGTGTATGTGTGTGTGTGTGTGAGACAGATATCTGTATGTAGCCTGAGGTGACCATGCCTGGTTCATACAACTTATAACATTGTGCTTTTACTCATTTTGTTATTTTCTAAGAATTTTTCAGAAGCTACGGTGTTTTTGTTCACATGGCTCCTGACCTACACGAGACTATGCTTCTTGATTGTACTGTTGATGACCTTAACACCATCTCCCCTGGTCTAGGAATCACTCATTTTAGTCTTCTGTCCAACTTTGAATCTGTTGGCTAACCTATTTACATTGTGTATTCTGTCTCATATGTCCACTTTCTGCCCAGGGCATTGTGATGCAGACACATGCGTTAAGGAACATTCTTACACATCATGATCTAACCCATGTCTTTTTTCCTGACTCCCACTCTCTACAGACAATCCTCACATGATTCATCATGGTAAATACAGCTTCAGCATGATGTTCTAACTGCACACACATAAATTTATGCAT